TAATGCAGTCAATGATGGAGGTCTGACCAGAAGGATGTACTTTTAAATGATTCCTCATCTCAACCCTCCCAGTCCCCAGCTCCAGGCAACTACTCTACACTCTCTCTAGATTTGCTCATTCCAGACATTCATGTAAATAGAATAAAATATGTGGTCTCTGTGACTGGCTTCTACTAACTGCTTTCAAGGTTGATCTATGTTTTACCATGCATCAGTACGTAATTCCTTTTTATTGCCAAATTTTATTCCTTTGTATGAATATTCCTATTTATATATGTATACATTATTTGATAGACATTTGGACTGTTTCCACTTTTCTACTGTGAGTTTTACTGTTATTAATATTCATGTACAGTATTTTGTGTGGATATTTATTTTCACTCACCTTCATGACACTCCACTACATGTCTGTTCACTTGGTATACCTATATTTAGCTTCTTGAGCTCCCCAAATGCTTCAAGTGGCCACACCATTGATACTTCCACTGACAACATGAAAGGACTCCAACTCCCTGCATCCCACAGCACTTTTCACTGTCCTTTTGATCACAGCCATCATAATGCATGTGAAGTAGATCATGACTATGGTTTTGACTTGCATTCTCCTGATGGCCAATGATACTGAGGAGTTTTTCCATGCCATTAATAAATCTTCTCTGGAGAAATGTCTCAGATCCTTTGCCCACTCTTAAACTGACTTTTTTATTGTTGAGTTGTAAGAGTTCTTTACCTGTTCTACACATAACTTAAATTTATAATATGCAAAATTTTCCACCAATCTCTAGGCTCTTTGCATGTTCTTCGGATTGTTTTCTGAACCACAAAAGTTTTAAAATTGATCAAATCTAATTTATTTTTCTTTTGCTGCTTGAGCTTTTTGTGTTACATGTTCAGAATGCTTTACTGCACCAAATGTTATGAATATTTACTCCTGTTTTTAAGAATTTGCACTTTGAACTCTTACATTTAGGTCTATGGTCTACATTGCATTAACTTTTGTGTACTGTTATGAAAAAGCGAAATTCTCTTTTTTTGTATTCCAGTTGTCCAAGTACCATTTGTTGAAATGACTATTCTTGCCCTGTTAAACTGTTCTGAAACCTTTGCCATAACCAGTTAACTCTAAATGTGAAGGCCTATTTCAAGATTCTCAATTTTACTCCAATCTGTTGACCAATATGACTGTCCGTATGCCAGTACCATCCTGTCTTGATTACTGTAGGTTTATAGTAAGTTTTGAAATTCATATGCAAGAGTCCTCCAACTTCATTCTTTGCCAAGATTGTTTTGTCTATTCTGGGCTGTGGATAGCCTAGAAAATGAGTCATTTCCATGCCAGAATCTGACATTTCCATATGAGTGATAGAATCAGCCTGTCCATTTCTACAAAAAAGGAGGTGGAATCTGTAGATCAAGTTGGTAAGTACAACTTTAACAACATAAGTATTCTAATCCATGGACACAGGATATCTTTATTTTCATCTAAGCCTTTCTTTCTTTCCACAATATTTTGTAGTTTTCAGTGTTAGCAAACCTTTGGTAAATTTTATTCCAAAGTATTTTATTCTTTTTGATGCTACTGAAAATGGCACTGTTTTCTTAATTTCATTTTTGGGTCGTTCATCATTAGTATATAAAAATACACTTGATTTTTGTATATCTTGTATCCTGAAAACTTGCTGAACTTGTCTATTAGGTGTAATAGCTTTTGATTCCTTAAATTTTTAAAATATATAAGATCGTGTCATCTATAGACAGATAATTCTTTTCCAATCTAGATGTCCTCTGTTTCATTCCCTGCCTAAGCACAGTGCTGCATCTTAAGTGGCACAGGCACAGGTCCTTGTCTTGTTTATAATCTTTGGGGAGAGAGTATCAGTTTTTCACCATTAACTGTGGACCTTTCCCCGATGTTGTTCAGGCTACTGTAACAGATATACTATAACCTGGGTGGTCTAAACAACAAACATTTATTTCAAATAGTACTGGAAGTCGGGAGGCCAAGATCAAAGTGCTGGCAGGTCTGGTGTCTGGTAAAGGCTGCTTTCTGGTTTGCAGACGGCCATGTGCCTGCCATCTGAGAGGGAAGGAACCTCTCTCATGTCTGGTTAGAAGCACACTACTCCCGTTCCTGAAGCTCAGCCTCAGGATCCACTCACTTCCCAAAGGTCACATTTTCAAATACCTTTTTTGGCAGCCTGCATAATTTTCTGTCTTTACTATAATGTGGATCAGAGTGGATTTCTTTGAATTTATTCCACTGAAGTTTGTTGAGATGGCTGGATATGTAGTCTAACAATTTTATCAAATTTGAGAAATCTTCAGTCATTCAATTATTTCCTTGAATACCTTTTTCTGCTCCCGTTTCTTCCTTCTGATACATACTACACACAGTGATACAGTTCATGGTGTCCCCTCATTTCTCTGAAGCTCTGTTAATTTTTCTTTACTCTTTTATCTCCAGGTTGTATAATCTTTAATGATGTCTTGAAATTCACCAATTTTTCCTTCTGTTGGTTCAAAACTTCTGTTGAGACCCCCTATTTAATTTTTTTATTGTGGTCATTGTGCTTTTGAACACCATAATTTCAACTTGTTTTTTGTAAGACATGGTCATCATACCTTCTTCCTTCTGTTCTTTAAACATGATTTCCTTTAGTAATCTGAACATACTGATATTCACAATATTCATATATTCACAATAGCTACTTTGAAGATTTTTGTTTGCAGAGTCCAAAGGGTGATTTCTATTGTCTCATTTTCTTCATATTCTTTAATAGATCATATTTACTTGTCATTATATGTCCAGTATTTTGTTCTTCTTGTTGAAAATGGACATTTTAGATCATCACACTTCTTAATAAAAATTTCCTCCCTTTTCTAGGGCTGGTTGTCACTTCAGAATATTTAGTTGTTTTTGTGTTGGCTGGGCAAGTACAATGGAATCTCTCTGGAATCTCTCTGCTTGTAATGTGCGGCCTCTGATGCTGCTTATTATATAGTAGAGCCATTGGTGTGCATTTTCCATCACCAAGAGTGACTGTGGCTTTAATCAGGTTGTCTTTGGCTGTCATTTTCAATATCACCATTAGGTTTCTTGCTGGTTTGGCTCTACTGGTAACTCATACAACTGTTAGCTTCCATGAATCGCTCACTGGTTGAACTGTTTTTAATACCTTTGGCATACATTGCTCCCTGCAGTGACCTAAATAATGTTAGACCTATCTGAAGAGTCACAGTGTTCCAAGATTTAAGTTTTGTGATGACCCTAGGAAGGCTCTTTTTAGCTATATCTTTCCCTGTTCCCTCTACTTACTTCTAGGATATCTACTCTTTTGCCTTTTGCTAGCATTTCAGAGGTACCATCTTCTGCTGAATTGCTCACCTCTACAATGCCCACCTGATATGTATTTTACCTGAATATTTTGTCTTATAGTTTTTGTCAACTGTTTTTTAAGTTTTGATGTTCTTTTTAAAAGATTCACAAATTTAGATCTTATAAATGAAGATAAAGCAGACAGATGTGAAATAAAAAGAGCAAGGCCATCAAATTAGTGAGTTGGTATTAGCACAAGTGAATAATAACATTTCCAGTCTGAGTTTTTAGGTGTTCACAGCACGGTATTAACAGGTCTTACCCATTCAGTGGTAGACATGTTACCAAGTACTTAACTCTGTAAGAACCCTATGTGTTCAGCAGTATAATTTCTCTCTTAGGACATGAGAGAACTGACTGTCCAGTCATACACAGAAAAAGCAGAGAACTGGGATTGATGGGAATCCAGGTATTTTCTTCCCTACAAGTCTGTATTCCTGGTGGACTCTATAAAAGGAAACACGTAAAATCATCTGTAGAACTATCTTCCAGGAATTAAATTCTATGAGAACTACTAGAATATTAAATAGGTGATAACGTATAATATAGGTAATCAGAAAAACACAGGGGGTGAAAGTGATTTGTTGATGGTGAATGAAAGTAAGTGGTTTATTTTCAGTTTTTTGGTTTTTTTTTTTTGGTACCGGGGATTGAACTTGGGACTTTGCACTTGTGAGGCAGGGGGCGGAACCACTGAGCTAAATCTTCGGCCCTGAGTCAAGTTTTCTGAAATTCTCCTTTATCTGGTAGGTTTTTTTTTTTAGTTACCTAATTTATCCATGTATCTAATTAGAAATGAGTACCACTGTAACTGTGACTATAGTCAATAAAAAACGAGTTATTTCCAAAAAACATTTCTAAATAATGAGTTATTTCTAAAAACATTTCCAAATAAATTATTTCTAAATTAAGTTCTGTGAATTTGATTCAGTAAATATTATTTAGTACTTATCCATTTTCAGCATAACACTTTGATTTTGCAACATTAATATTTTTCTAAATATTCTAAAATGGGGAACTCAGTTCAGAGATCACAAAAGGAGAATATTTTGTGTTATGCTTGTTAGATTTTAAACAGCACAGGGCTACCAGAATGAGGTGATTTTATATCATAAAATATATCAGATAGTTATAATAAATTAACAAAAATCTGTCAATTTAAAAAATATGATTCTGACTCCCTACATATACCACACGAAAATCACACTTGCAAAAAATCAATTATACTGACTCTACATGATTCTCTTACTTCCATGATTGTCTGATGTAAAGTAGTACACATTACTAACAGAAAGAACTGAAATGCTAGATTGCTATCAAGTTGTGTAACAGAAAAATCACAAGATAAAATGCCAATTAAATACATTTGTTTTGTTTTGTTTTGGGTACCGGGGATCGAACTCGGGTCCTTGCGCTTGCACAGCAGGCAGCGAAACCACTGAGCTAAATCCCCAGCCCAACTAAATACATTTTTGCATAATTTCCAAACTATATTATTTAAAAGAAGCACATATACACTACTCATATAATGGGAACAGCTACCTTCACATTATAAAAAACAGGTCATCCAGCACACATGGATCATAAGGTATTGTGTTTTAGTTTACAATTTTGTTTCCATTACCTTCCAAAAGCTCATCCTCATCTATTCCTTTGATAATCTTTGATTTATAATCTCGCATGAACATGTATTTCAGCAGTCTTCTTAGTTTTTTCTATTAAAAATATAAGTAAATAAGAACATTTATATGCATATTCACTTCACAAAATATAATAATTACATTTAAGAAACGAGTATCACAGGATCACTAGTGATAACATAGCAGTCCACAGCATAATACTATGGAATAAAATGTAGCCACCAAATTAATTATAAAAGCTAAAACATAAATACTTTTAAATTGAAAATATCCGGAGTTCCAAAATCACAATAATTATTTTTCTGTGTGTATAAAAGTTTAAATTCTTTTTGGAGACTGTGATAAATAGCACATTCCCCATACTAAGTATGCTAATGTTATTGAATGTCTTATACACTTTTAGGACAAAATTTTATTTTAAGAAATTGAGTTACAAACATTCATTGTTTGTTTTCTTCCCTGAAAATCTTTTTATTAGATGAGTTGGTTCATGTTTTATTTCCTGAAAACCATTTTGTAACCTGAGTTAGGAAACAATTCTTTTTAGGAAACTCAAAGCCTATGAATGATACTTAAGTCTCAGGATGATACTCTTTATGTTTAAAAAAAAAACTCGTTAACTTTAAAAAAAATAACTGATACCATTTTGAGGCCTTTTCTGTGATTGCACTTAGTAGGTATTATCACTGGTGCCTGCCTTTCAGGTTTAACATTCCCCACACCCGCCTTTTGGGACTGGGATAAGACCTAGGGCCTTGGGCCCCAACTCAAGATTTCCAATATCTGAATCCTACTGATTTTACACAGCTCTTCACATGTGCATCATTGACATCTCCAACAGCTCTGACACACACAGATCTAATCATCTTTTTATGTGGAGGGAGACTGAGTCCCACAACTAAAGCTCAGCACAGCCAAAAGTAGTACATACGCTTGAATCTGTTTTTTTGCTTGCACAGTAAGAAAAATACCTACCTACCATGCCCACTGTGAGGAGTTCATGAGACGAGGTGATGCTTGCTTTGTGTAATATGTGAAACACAGCAGCCAATAAATACTGCTTGAATATAAACTGGAACTACTTGTATTAAGACAAAAGGCATACCTGACTATAAGTCTTTCGCTGCCCTTCTTGTCTCTCTGTTCTGATTCCATTTGATATTTTAATTTTGTTTACCCATCTAAGCTTGTTTAAATTCTTTTGGGAACATGTCAGTGTATAAATAAAATGCTATGTTCTTGGGTGGCAAAAAGCTTCTGGTGAAGAGTCCTCCTAGATAGCAGGAAAGCGCTGTTAGGCAGGGAATATTCCTGTGGTTTCAATAAGATTTTAATTTTTCACTTCCCCAAAAGGGCAAAAAAAAGTGTCAGTGTGGGTATGGTATGTGCCAATTTCTTTACTTCTGGCAAATGTTCTGCAGAGCCCTCATGCCAAACCTGCTGTTCCCTGGCTGCCTGCAGCAAGCATCTTTTAGATTTCCCTATTACTCTGCCAACAGCACCCTGGCTTTCTCCTCACAGCATCTCTTCTATGTGGTACTCCAAGTATCAAGAAAGAGGTCACCAAATCCTGGTGATTTATTCTTATTCTTCACTTTCTCTCCATTTCTTCCTTCTTACTAATCCCAGAGCCACGAGCCACTTCGCTCTGACTCCTGAACCAGGACCTTGGCTCCTCTCTTTGCACTTGGCTCGCTCTCCACAGCTATGTGAGCCTTGCCTTACTCACGCAGAGCCCTCCACTTGCACAACTTAGGTCTCACAACCTTGAAATTCTCTTAAGTCTCAGCTGATTGTTCAACTAAGCCATCAGATTCCTTAAACAAGACCATAAGCTTTTTGACGAAGACATTTTTTTCCCTTTACATTCTTTATATCAACAAAGAAATGATTAAATAAGACGTGGAAAATCTTGCAGAATATTTTCAACTACCTGCTCATGGAAAACAATTACAACAAAATCAGACACAAGTACCAGCTTAAATATATTAATACAAAGAATTTATAAAAAACAGATATTATGGTATATATTTATGTTTTTCATATACTCACTTTCATTGATTTTGCTTTTTCCTGTAAGCTAGTGTCACAGAATAAAATTTGTATTTAAAAATTTAGCATATGAAAGATTGTAATTCTGATAATGTTAAGATATAAAATAAGAAAAATAAATATGCCACCTAGTTACATCTCATTTATAACACGGAGCATACAGTCAATATTTAGTGAATATGAAATAGCAATGAAAATGTCTAACTAGACATGTAAGGATACTAAGGATTACTTGTTAGCACAGTTGTCCATAAGTGTCTTTGTTCTTATAAAAATACCAATTCATTTGTAGTAAACTGATTTTGTTGTATAAACCATGAAGACTAAAACATCAGTAGTTATGGTTCCAATTTGAAGGCTATAACAAGTTCAATTAAGCACTAGGCCTACCATTTTAACATAATCACTGTTTTATATTACCTTATCTTTACGCATCAAAAATAGAAGATCTTCAGCAGAGATTACCCTTGCTCCCCGCAGCTGAGAAACTTCAGCAGCATGCTGTAACTAACAATAAAGGAAGTTTAGGGATTTTTCTTAAACATCATACAATCATGGTATCTCAAAGGAGATAAAGGTACGGAGTTAAAAACCCTTTGGAATAATCCAGCAAAATGATGTATGTTTTAAGATATAAAAAAGCATTTAAATTAACTTACGAGCCCACCTGTAACTAATACAATAAACAGAAATCCTTCATTTCTTTCATGCAAAAGAAAAATCACACACAGCTTTTACAAATGCATTAATGCACCTGAAAATAATTTTATGAAATTTTATCCTTCATACATACCCATGTAAGCAATGGTTTTACTCAGTATCACTAGTTGAATAAGTATATTATTAATCTGAGCCCTCATGCTGGTATGATTTGAAATAGGCCCAATTCAGAACTTTAAAAGATCAACAGAAATAGTAGCTGTTTCTAATATCCAATTGAAAAAAGTGCTTTTGTCTTGGCAAGTCTTCAGTGGGTACACAATTCAGTCCATAAATCTTAATACTGGACTGCATTAATTTTTCTCCAAACTAATCACATGCACACAAGAGTTAACTATCTGGAATGCACAACACAAAATACATTGCTTGAAAAGTTAGATTCCCCCTGAAATGTTTATATGGGCCCTTATATATCATCAAAGTCATAGTTTTCAGGAATTCAGAAGCCCTGGAAACACAATCTTACTTGAAAATGACCTGGAAAATAAAAGAATGTGAAAAATGATAGTTCTAGTTTTTGGCAAAGGCAAACTCAGTTTCTCATTTTGATTAGTTGTAAGGAACATAAAATATTCCATCTGAAAAAAATAAAGATGGAGAAAACACTACAAAAATGTGGCTATAACATCTCCAAATTTGATCAAACCATGCTGATTTCAACAAACCAACTCTACCCAAGCTGAAATATTATAAAAATATTTATATATAAAAGCTGTTCCTCAATGCATCCTTCTTTGAAAGAAATAAATCTAATACAGTCTCAAGAGCTAAGCTTTAAAAAGTGACACACTGTTATCTTAATGATTATATGAAATTAAAAAGTCCATTTGTGCTGAAGAACTTCTGTACAATGTTGAAATGATTTTCCTGGTAAGCTTCAAACCTTCTCTAAATACACAGACTACAAAACAGACTATAAACTCCTGATGTGTGAGCTTTACCACTGAACTTCCTGGATTCTAGTGGTTGTTATCTAAACATAATATCACCTAAATATAGAAATTTAAATTTAACTGTGAACCATTTAAATAGAAACTTTTTGTGGGGGGAGAGGTTTTTAAAAAGATGATCTATCTATCCCAAAAGAAATGTTAACAGTTTTCAGTAGACATGAACATACTTTTTTCTACAAACTGGGAAGAGTGTTAGGGAAATATGTGTACATACCCCTTCTCAAATAAAAACATTTCTGTCAAGAGTCTAAAATACATGCAATCAATGTGAAGAATATAAGGTACGTATCCTAGATCCAGGAGATAGCATTGGCAAGTAACTTTTTCTTTACTTTTTATTTTCTTAAATGAAGAATAGGGAATAATTTGAATTAAAAAAAAATTATATAGACATACTAATTTCATACATGCCAAAAAAGGATCAGAATTAATAATATTGCTAAATAGTTTTCCCAATTAATCAATGGTTTATCCATATTACATATAAATAATACAAAATGAGTTTGCTGACACAATTACAAGAAAAAGAACTAAAACAATCAAAATGAAGACATGCAAGAGTGCAACATTTTAAATTACTTTCTCAACACCCTGTCCCATGTAACAGGATCAGTTCATCTTTGCTATTCATCTACCTGATTTTCTTATTTCTTTTAATGAATACAATAGGCTTTCTGGTCTTAGTGCTGCTTGCACTCCCTAGCATGCCTTGGGCTCTGCCTGGTGAGCAGGCCTTTGGAACTGAAAGGATCACTGTTACTTCACCTAGGCCACCCAGCCCTAAAGAGACTGACTTTACTAAAGTAAGAGAGCAGTTTCATTAGCTAATTAAAGTAATCCATACTAAAACACGTATTACTGGCTTACATCTAAAAATTTCTGCTTATGCTTATCAGCAAGGCGGAGGGGGGACCCCCTCTAAACAACACTCTTAGAAAACAGGTTAGCAGCTTGGCAGTCCAGACTCACTAGGTGCTGAGCTAAAGACTGGTGCATTTATTATGAAAATAATACTAGAAACAAGAAATCAGTATCTCTTATGTTCCTAAGACCTCCAGAGTCAAGAAAACGAAGTTCTACTTGGAAAGCTAACATAGGAGGATTACAAATTTCGGGGCAGTCTGGGCAGCTTAGTGAGACCTTGTATCAAAATAAAAATAAAAATTTCTAAAGGGCTTGTGATGTAACTCAGCTGAAGACTTGCTTGGCCATGTTTGAGGTCCTGGGTTCAAAAACAGAAAAGTTGATCCTACATTATAAACAATATTTTACTTTCATGATTATTAAAAATAAATGGAAGTTCTAAGTCATTACTCATTGCAGCCTGTAAAATATTTCTGGCAGTAATTAAACTAATATGAAATAGCAATGCATATATAATTTTTACTATAAATATAGTATATTTTATATATAGTATATATATTTTACAAATAAAATATTTAATTGTATTATAAAATGTATGAAAAATTACAGAGCAGAGTAGTATTTTAAGCCTAGTCACTAGTATAATAAGCATACAAATTTTCTTAACTATATGGATAAGGGTACAGGACTAGTAATCATATAGAGGTTTATTTGCAACTAAGTAAAATATTTTGCTGAAGGACATAATCGTTCTACCACAATAGCAATTTTGATATAAATTTCAATTTTTCTGATAAATATAATTTCTATTCTTCAAAGTAAACTAATAATGTATACTTGTAACAACTATTTATTTAAAAGTTTAAAAAATCACATAATGTTAAAACTCAGCATGCTTGCATTTTAACCATTTTATGATATGGTTGAATATTATGAGGTACACCATACATATCATCTCAAATCTCACATCTTTATTCCACAAATAAATTTCTTCTCACTGTTGTCAATGACATTAACTTTCAAATTCAGTTTTCCCCCAATTTTATAACACTTTCCCCAGCTTCTGTTGATTATTTTGTTTTTAACCTTCCCAAGGCCATGAAATATGCTCTCTACTTCCACAGTATTTATTTCAATCCAGGCCTTTGGGAAATTTTACTCACTAGTTTCTAAGTTGTAGTGTTTCCAAATTGTTGTGTATCCTTGACATAACTGCTAAAATGTTGTTCCTCAAATATAATGCTCAAAGTCTTGTTCCAAGATCTATAATAATGCACTATTATGTAACATGAATATGGTCTTTACCACTTGGTAGAGTCAGATTTTCCCTATATCCTCACTTTCATTACATTTCTTGTTTTTCCCCCATATACAGTAATTCCACATGTTAGTGCCGGTAATTTGTTTTCTGAGCCTCTGTGTACTTGTGATAATTAATTTTATGTGTCATCCTGACTGGACCATGAAGTGTCCAGACATTTGGCCAAACATTATTCTGGGTGTGATTATAAATGAAATTAACATGTGAACCAGTATACCAAGTAAAGAAGACTGTGCTTTCAGTCCATTTTCTGCTGAAGTAATTTTTTTTTCACTTTTGAATTTTTAATGTCATTCAACATAGGGTTCAAACATCAAAATATGGGTACACTCAAAACATTATCATATCCCATTTCTTCATCCTTGAGAAAACATCAAAGAAAACTTCCAATTGAAAAGCCGCACTGCTTTTAGTTAAACCCCAATACCTTTCTCAGGTAAAGAGCAATCTGGCTGTATGTCAGCCATATATATAAAAAAAGTTTGAACACCAGTCAGGAACGGCTTGTGTTCAAACTTTTAAAATGTTAAATAGGACTATACCCCCAAAAAGCTTAAGTTCTGAGTGAGTTTAACTATTGCTGACACTTCGAACTTTGGGAAATATGGATGGCTCAATTATCTTCAGGGTCACAAGCCCAAGTATTATGCAGGTCAACCGTGACTGCGGACCCATCGCTGCTCAAACACGCTGAGTCAGCAAGAAGTGATCGCATCCTCTCTTCATCCACAGGCAAGCGGTGCAGGCTGGGATAAGCAAGGAGTCTCTGCAGGGGGACGAAAAACCTATCCCCTTCACAGAAGGGCTTGGGAGAATTCTCTATCCTGGCTTTTCCAGCCTCTGTGAAGAGTGCTCCCAACATCGGGCTGGGGGCCACAGATGGGCCCTTCGGCACAGGCACAGTGCCCGCTCCCCTCTTCTCTTCTCGCAGCGTTCGCAGATGCCGAAGTCTCAAGCGTTCCACTTGTAACAACATTTCCCCGACCAGTTCAAATTTGAGCACCTTTTCCTGCTGTAAGCTTGGGTAGGACGTTGTATAAACAGCTTTATAAACATGACGATAGTGCTGCTCTGAAACACAGGGCCCTGGTGCTTCTCTGCTGTTTTTCCTGAAGATGCCTATCTGGGTGCAGAATCCAACATGCTCAGCACCAGCTGGCGGTTTGCCTACCCCGGTAAACTCCACAGAGTAATTGTAGTGATTTGCCACTTGTAAAGCCCAGGTCTGAAACTCCATTCTGCTCCACTCAAATTTATGGTCTGCATCTCTTAGGGTCACTATGAGAAACAGGGGGTTGAATTCAGAATTTGGTGTGCTGATGACAATCATGACTGGAGACAGGTATGTACCCAAATACCACTTCAGGAAATCTGGCCAGATGGTCTGAACCCAAATGTTCTATTAATTCAATGCACATTATCAAGTCAAATCCAAGCAAGCGAGAGTCTCTCTCCACAACAGAGCCATGATACAAGGTAACAGTCAAATCCAGATCCCGGGGTTTTACAAACTCCCCCAAATAGGGAGACAAATTATGTCCATTTGATTGTAATTTTTCCTCATTGATATCTGCTCCAACAAGCAGCTGAATGCATGGATAGATTTTTTAGCAGCCTTAGGAGCTCAGTATCACCACATCCCAGGCCTG